TGTGTTTCCTCTCAGCTTCTTGTACACCACAACCTACTCACTAACAGGGCAGTGTGAGCAGGAAAGGCCATGATGATGTGTAAGCATCCCCCAGCAATAGTAAAGCACTGGTGTGCTAACAACTTGATTTTGATTACAAATCCAAAATGCAGCACCTTATGAGTTATTATGAAGAAAACTAACCCTACTCAAGCCAAAACCAGTAGCAGAAGGAAAGAACTGTCTTTCTACACTGGGTTTCCTTTTTTTAGAAGGCTGTAATAACACTGAATTTTAGATCTTTTTCAGAAATTCTCCATTTCTGCATTCTTTTCTGACCTCTCTTTTGCTAAAGACAATGCAATCCCCACTCTGCATAATATTTTCAACACATTCCTCACTGCTGGCTCATATCCAATCTATGAGAGTTTTCTCTTTTGTTGTTTTCTTCCAAATCCTGAACCAAATTTTATCACCTGTATTTCCATATCTTCCTAGTCAGTCTATCATTTGGTAGATACCAAACATGAGCTGTTGGTGAATTAAAATCCCCTTACTGCTATTAGAACTTGGGATAATTTTGTTAGCTGCTTGAAAAACTCTGCCTCTTTCACCTTCATGACTTAAAAATAAAATCTATGTTTGCATCACGCGTTTCTCATTTAGAGAAATGTACATAAGAGTTAGCATGTCCATCTTTGGTAACCTGGGAATTGTACATCTTTCCTTCCTTGTTGAAGAAGCCCCTTGGTTAGTCCTCTTGTAAATGATTTCACAAAGCCCTGTGTAAATTATGATTTGGTTATGTTATAAGAATTCAATTTTCTGCTTGTGTCATCATCTCTTGCAGTAATAATAGATGTGTCTGTTCTTATTCTCCCTGCACTTCTGACCTTTTATTGAGTTAATATTCTTCTTTCAATTTTTAGATCTCTGTGATGTCTACCTTTGTTTATGCCTCTTTTGATACTTCTCCATAGCTTCATTTCTTTCTGACATGATGACTTGGAAGTTCTCCTTCCCACTGTAGGAAGCCTGTAGACAAAGACTTCATGGTGATCTGGCAAGCAGAGATAAATTCAGATTAATTCTTGGTGTACACAACCGTAGTCTGGGTTGCATCAAGAGAAGCATGATCAGCAGGTCAAAGCAATTCTGCCCCTGTACTCTGCTCTTGTGAGATCTCATCTGAAGTACTGTGTCCAGTTCTGATGCCCCTAGCACAAGAAGGACATGGAGCTGTTGGAGCAGGTCCAGAGGAGGGCCACAAAGATGATCAGAGGGCTGGAGCACCTCCCTTAAAAAAACAAGCTGAGAGAGCTGGGGCTCTACATCCTGGAGAAGAGAAGGCTCCAGAGGCACCATATAGTGGCCTTCCAGTTCCTGAAGGGGCCTACAGGAAATCTGGGGAGGGACATTTTAGAAGGGCGTACAGCAGTGGGACAAGGGAAGAAGGCTTTATCCTGGAAGAAGGTAGATTTAGGCTAGATATCAGGAAGAAATTGTTTACTGTGAGGATGGTGAGACACTGGAACAGGTTGCCCAGTGTTGCTGTGGATGTCACTCCCTGGAGATGTTCAAGGCCAGGCTGGATGGGGCTGTGAGCAACCTGGTCTAGAGGGAGGTGTCCCTGCCTACAGCAGGGGGGTTGGAACTGAATGATCTTAAGTGTTCTTTTCAGCCCCAACCATTCTATGATTCTACTGTGCACTGTGAATTTTATCTTCCTGCTAAAATCAAATGGAAGGACTCATCATTGCTAGTATATGTCATGAAACTATTGCAAACTATTTTACAAACAGATTTAAGAAAAGCTATGCTGAAAAGGACAGTCAGTGCCTCTAAGAAGAAGAAAATGATTGAAACTTGAAAACACCCCACAGATCTATTTCAATTTTAGAGCTAATTTTCCACTTGAATTCTGTGTTTCTTACATAATATACATTTTAGGAGTTCAGTCAACTGTGACTTTGTTCTCCCGTAACAGGAAGGAAAATGTGCGTAAACTAGAGATCTTAGAGTTACTTGACTTCTGATTATAGGCAATAAGAAGACTTTTAGAAATGAAAGTGAGCTTATCCCTGTGTGCTAGAAAGGTACATTTATTTCTTACTGTAAACATTAAGTGCATCTTCCAAAGTAAGACTGCCGTGTGGCACTCTGAAATATGTTACAGAATAGGTATTTCTGAATAGCTACTTCAGTGAACTTACAGAGCAATACTGTCATGTGGCACTCTGAAATACGTTATAGAATAGATATCTTTCAATAGCTACTTCAATGAATTTTTTTCTTCAAATTTTTTTCTTTTCTTTTCCTTTTGAACAGCAATTTTAAGTTTTTACTTGGTTTATGTATACGGAACTGTGAACTACAGAGAAATGGATTGATCTCTAAACAAACCCTCTAGCTTAGCACTATTCCCAGAGCCATATATCAGCTCTATTTTAGTGTGACTTGAACAAAGGAACAAACATTTTCAGTCTATAAATGTGTGTCCTTCAATGTAACTTGTATGGAAAAGTCCACCTACAGAATGAGTTGCAAAATAATACTTTCTTGTCAATCTCTTTGTGGCAGTCACGGGGAGTCAGTGTGGCTAAAACAGTTGAACCACACATCTCGTGCCTACCTGTTCATAGCTCATGCCAACACAACACACTGTTGTTTGTTTTGCATTCACAAGTCATTCTGAAGAGGTTATGACAGACAGAAAATCTTTGCCATGATCCAGCCACCAGACAGAGCTGTGATCATTAGCAAGGCTGAGGGTAGCAGGGTCATCTCAGATTTGTGTGGTGTCGAGCTGCAGAACTAGCATCTAGCAGCAGATAAAATTGCGCTCTGTCATCATGATGGAGAAAAACCTGCTCAGTAGAGTTTGTTGTCATCACTGGAACATTTGGAGAATGCTAAGCAATATGTCTCCTGCAAATTGTTCAATAGCAGGAATGATGTCTGGGTATCTCAGGCACAGCCAACAGGAATATCAAAATCCAAAGACTTGTCTTGTGTTCCTATGATTAAAAATAATGAATAAACATGAAAGAGAGTATTTCTTGGTAACTTTGGGTATGAGACAGAACTAACACCTGCATCACTAACATCCATCCATCTAACACTGCAACACTAACATCCATCCTTCCCTCAACTAGAAAAATTAAACAAAACTTTGTGGGTTAGCAAGACAAAAATGATTGATTTCCATTACAGGAGCAAGTAAGAGAACCAAGTATTATGCAATTTTATTGTCAAGCAAAAGGAAGAACCATTATTACATGCAGCAGCTGTGATCCCAACTCAGTCCTGAATATCAGGCATACGTTTCCATTTTACGAAAGGGCTCATCCGTGTGACAAGGGCTGATTTAGACTTGAAACTCTTGCTGGTTTGTTAGTTGTGGTAAATGATCTCATCATGCAAAATCATCATGATCTCATCATACAAAACACTATAAAACTTCCTGTTGTCCTTTTGAGATGGTCTCTTTTTATGACCAAAAAGGGTTCCTCAGAGACGCAGGTATGTAAATGTTAGGTAAAAGATAGTGAGTCTAGCAAGGATAGAGACACTGACTTTACGTAAAGTGAGCACGCTAAAGCTGAGCCTTAGATGTAGCACAAAACATAGCACCATGAGAACTAGGCCTTTCTGCTACTTTCCTTGAGTAGCTCTCTGCTCAGTCTTTCAGCTTCAGAGTCTGATTTTAACTTTTCATTCTTAATCCATGTGATCTTTGCATGCATGTGAATGCCATGAGATGCCAACTAGGGCTGCTGCAGGGAAGGCACCACTAGAGACTTCCAAGGGGAAGCAGTGACCATTTTACCCGGTGCTTCAGAACAGAGAAAAGTGAGCACGTATTTGAACAAACTTACTGACACAGCATTCCCAATCCAGCTGTGGTGTTTGGTTTACACTGTACAGCTTACTCAAAGTAGCCAGTGGAAAAGTTTTGGAAAGTGAGAGATGTGGAGAGGGGAAAAATAGGAAGAAAAAGTGACAACAGCAAGTGACAAAACGAGTATTAGTTTTCAGTATGCGGGTATAAGAGAAATAAAAGATCCTAAAACTATTTCACAAGTAGTCAAGTTATTGTCTTAGCAATTACTTTCTGCTCATTTACAATTTGTGAGGCTCTATAGGCTTGATATTAAGTAGGAAGCAAATTCTTTAGAAAAAACCTTTACCCTTGAGACATAAGCAACTCAGAGACAGGTGAAGCTGTCCAATACGAAAACAGACCTGGAGGATCCATACTGGACTGTTTCACCTCCGTAGATAATTAATTGCTTTATTGATGTTGTGCTTAGAAGAAAATCTTATGATCAAGCCTGGCCCTTATATAGCTGAGGTAGAAAACAGCTGTTGCTGCCTCGGCTAAAAACCTTTCTCCAATTAAGCATCCTTTTTCAGTGGAAGTACTCTTTCCATGTCATCAATCGCGCTCTAATACAGAAGGTTTGTTAAGCCTTTCATTATAAGACAGATCTCCTACCCCTTAATGCTTCCTCTCTGAACCTACCTACATTTTTCACTGAAGAACATAAAAAAAAATGAGGAAAGATGAGTTTCTACATCAAAGAATTCCTCACATCAAAGCCGACGTGGAAATACCTCCGTGCAACTTTCCACTCCTTTTATTTATTTATCGTTGGTGTTGTACTGAGGCCCGCTGTCCCCGCGTCCACACATGCTCCCCAGGGCCACCTGCATCCCGGCTGCCCAAAGCCGGCTGGTGGGGCTCCTAACACGGGGTGGTTTGGGGTTCTGCGGTTGGGTTCAAGGCGGGCCACCACGGTGGGCTATTCACTGAGTATCACTGAGATGTGAGGAGCTGCAGGCGCTGCCCCGAGGCTCTGCGGATGAGGTAAGCGAGGCCGAGGGCGCCCGCCCGCACACGGCTCCGTCAGCGGCGTCGGGTCCCCCCTCGGCGGCTTTCCGTCAGCCCCCGCGGGGCCGGATAAAAGGCGGCGCGGCGAGCGAGGAGCAGAGCGTGGCGCTGCCCCGCCTGGCCGGTCCCATGCAGCCCGCCATGATGATGTTCTCCAGCAAATACTGGGCGCGGAGGGGCTTCTCGCTGGACTCGGCCCTGCCGGAGGAGCGCCCCGGCGGCCTCACCGTAAGTGGCGGGGCTGGGACAGAAGCGGCGGGGGGATCCGGAGGTAGGGCAGCGAGCTGCCGGCCCGCGGGCTTAACTTTGCGGCCGCAGGCATCGCTGGCGGCTGCTGAGAATCCAACGGGTGCTGCTTCCCAGCGCTGCCGCGAGGGTGTCCTCAAACAACAGCGAAAGTTTCGCTAGGAAGGCATGCACGGAGGGTGAGCCGCGCTGCTGCAGCGCTCTCAGAGCACGGGAGCCCAGCACAGCTGTTCCCGAGCGCCAAGGCTGTGTCAGAGCGCTTACAAACCTCGCAGCGTGACTCTTGAAACGTGTTTGATGGCAGCAAGCGGCGGTCGGAACGGTGCTCGTGGGGAGCAGCGGTGCAGCCGGACCGCTAATCGGCTCCGAGTAGGCTTACGCTGTCTGTAACGGGTGCTGATGGTCTCATCCGCTCTGAATGGGGTGAACGTTTCGGGTTTTCAAAACTCAGAGCCCATAAAGTTGTATGTCAGACCTGCAGCGTGTGGGGGCTTTGGGAATTTGAGTCGAACCCACGGGATGTGCTTGCTTGTACCAGTTGTGAACTGGCCTTACAAGAAACGTGTAATATCCTTGTTTGTGTGTGCTTTATTTCTGTCAGAAATGTTGAATTAAATGGGATCTGTCTGTTTTACATATTTTGTTTGAGTTACTTTGAGTTATTCTGTAGCTTACTCCTTTGCTCCTGAGTACCTGCACTTGCTCCAGGCAACTCATTTTCATTAGGATGGTTGATCTGCTTACCATTAAAACACTTTATAATTAAATAATAGGCATGGCTGATAAGATTTGAGCTCTTGCAATATCATAGCCTCTTCAGTTGGGCTTGTGATGATTAGCTAATCTGGTTTTCTTACACTCAAGAGAGGCTTTCAGTCATCACTTCAGGTAATGCTTGTTTTGAAGTAGTGCTGAACCTTAGGCAGTCCTGGAGGGTCCCAGGTGCCCTTGTGTCCCTGAGGAATCAGTGGTACTGAGGTTCTCAGGATGACTGTGATCCTCTGTGTGTAGCTTCCTGGAAACAGCTTACAGTGAAGAAGCATGGATGCTATATAAACAGCATCTGTGCACTTCATATAGATGAAAACTGCTCATCCAAATCCCAGATATTGTTGAAGTTAAAGCCAAAGTGACCTTCCACTAGACTGTCCCCAAGCAAACCCCTCAGCAGGAAGAACCATATAAGCTCAATTGCTAAAAAAGTAAATGTGTTTGAGTGTCTTCACAAGCAGAATTACTTTTTCCAAATGGTTTAAGTATGATCTGATAAATGATAAGAGACCACAGAGACCTTTGAGTATGTGGTAGGGGTAGTTTAACCTGTGCTATTTTAAGTTGTTGCTTTTAGTAAGAAGATGCATTTCAACTAGCCCTTCTTTTAATTCAGTGCATTCTTGTGCTTTTTATGTATGTGTGTATATATATACACACATACATATATATATATATATGTCCAGTGGGAGCTGAATATCCAGTGGTCTCACGCAGCAGAGGGAGGTACCTCAAAGTGGACTGGGATCACGTAAAAAAGCAAACTAGTTTAACATGTGCCGTATGGCTGTGTTGAGAGGGTGTGATGCAAATATCTCATCTCTGTCAGCAATATTTAGTGCTAAGAAAGCTATCTCAATTAATCCAGCTTGGAAAAGGAATTAGACTAAACTTTACTAATCTCTTTTTCCTGGGACAAAAAGCTCCTTATGAAACATAATGTTTTTTGGAAAGCACAGGGAGACTTTAGTAAAGCCCATCGCCCTAGACAGAGCCACAGACATCCTGCACGTGGGATAACCCACCTTGGCAGCTCTAAGAAAACAGGAATAGATACTTGGCTTTAACCAAGAATTGAGACCTGTTCAAAGAATGGGTGGAATTTTTGATTGTTTTCTACAGTTTACAAAGAACTGTTAGTAGTTGTGGAATTGTTGTGTATGTCTCTTAGTTTCTAAGTTTGTGTCTTTTAGTGACCATATTAGAGGTGATACTGTTGTTTAGAAAGTGGTGAGCATCTCACTGAGGACAGCATTTCTCTGAGTCACAACTTGGTTGGAGAATGCAGGCTGGTTTTTGAAAATCATGGTCAGTATTATCAGAACTGTCTACAGAGCTTATAGAGCCCAACTTACTGTTCTGTTGCATCTCAACAGAATTTAAGTTCACTGAAAAAAGTCCACATTTCTTGGAAACTACTGGATGAGGCAAACCTCATTTGAAGCAAAGTTTTCACCTTCTTGATTAAGAGAAGATCGTAGATTTCTCAGGAGAAATGACATTACACAGCAACTGTACTACAACAGATAGCATAAAATTTAAATTTTAAATTTAATGAGCATGGCTGATCAGTAAACCCCAGCAATGGAAGAAGGTTCAGCAGTGATGGGTAGGAGGATGTGCCTGTGAAGCTCAATGAATAAGGCTGAATGTGAGTGACCACAGCATTTGCAGAAAGCTAATCTTATCTTGGTGGGTACCAGGGAGTGGCCTTTGCTTTAGATACATGGCTGCCCTCAGTTACATAGATTAACTGTTGATTTAGATATCTCTCCAGAATTTGAATGACTCCTTGAGTTAAGCCTGACCAGTATGGTGGAAGTGAATACATGGCTCAGCCCAGTATGGGTATGAAAACTACATCACTAATAGGATAACAGCAGGGAGATCAGTGGCCTTAATCCATTTATTCATTTCTGGTGACCAGGTACACCCAGCATAGTGACGGTGAGCACAAGATCAGAGAAGCATGGAGTTGTTTGAGTTGGAAAGGACCTTTAATGACCATCTGGTCCAGCTCTCCTGCAGTGAACAGGGATACCTACAGCTAGAACAGGTTGTTCAGACACTGGTCCAGCCTGACCTTGAATGTCTTTGGGGATGGGGTATCCACCACCTCTCTGGGCAACCTGTTTGACTGCCTCACTGCCCTTATTGTAAAAAAAAACAAAAAACAAAAAGCCTTTTTTTCTTACATCCAGTCTGAATCTCTCTGTTTGAAACTGTTTTCCCTTGTCCTATCACAACAGACACTGCTAAAGAGTCTGTCCCCTTCATCCTTATAGCCCCCCTCGTCCTCCCCCCCCCATTAGGTACTGTAAGGCTGATCTCAGGTCTCCTAGAGTGTTCTCTTTTCTAGGCTGAACAGCCCCAGCTCTCTCAGCCTGTCCTTACAGGGAGGTGTTCCATCTCCTAGACCATTTTTGTGCTACTCCTCTAGGCATGCTCCAACGTGTCCATGTCTCTCATTTACTGAGGGCTCCAGATCTGGACACAGTATTCCAGATGAGGTCTCACCAGTGCAGAGTCAAGGGGGCAGGATCACCTCCCTCAACCTGCTGGTCACACTGCTTTTGATGCAGCCAAGGATAAGGTTGGCTTTCTGGGCTGCAAGGGCACATTGCAGGCTTGTGTTCAAGTTCAAGTTGTTAGCCACCAGTATCTCCAAGTCCTCTTTGCTAGGTCTGTGCTCCATCTTTTCATCCCCCAGCTTGTACTGATAGCAGGGGTTGCCGTGACCCACGTGCAGGACCTTGCACTTGAATGTGTTGAACATTGTGAGGTTCTCCTGGGCCCATAGCTGGAGCCTGTCTAGGTCTCTTTGACAGGCATCCTGTTCTTCGGGCATGTCAAAAGTACAACACAGCTTGGTGTTGTCAGCAAACTTGCTGATGGTGCACTTGATACCGCTGTCCATGTCATTGATGAAGGTGTTAATGAGGCTTGGTCCCAGTACTGACCCCTAAGGGACACGACTTGTCACTGATCTCCATCCACACGTGGAGACATTGGGCACCATTCACCGAGAGTGATCTCACAACTAGTAATAGACAGACCAGTAATGCAAATAACACTGACGTTGTGATTAAACGGTTTACTGAGACTGCAGCTTTTTGCCAAGTATCACTTGCATTTGTAGTCTGTTTTCAGTGTGTTAAGTATCACTGCTAAATCTGAATTCCTGTGTAACATCACACATCGTCTGTTAAGAACGTTTCGTACTAAGCATTATGCACCCCATGTGTGGAACATCTAAAAGCAGCTGGTCAGAGAGTATTGGACTCTTGACAATAGATAATACAGAAGTACAGACCAGTATAAATCATCTTGGACTGATTTAGAGATAGAATAGCATCACTGCAATTAGTGGTTTTGTGGTAATTCAGACCATCATCTCCTTTTGCTTTCCTTATTAGTCTTGATAGCATGGCCCTAAAAAGTCAATATATATCCTGTGTATATGTATATCTGTGATTCTGGTTTCAGGTAAATAAATTAACTTTTAAATTAAGTCTGGATAGGTTCAATTCAGCTATTTTCTGATGAAAGTTTCTCTTTATGTAATATGTCTTACTTTTGGGAAATACCCTTTTGCAACTGAATCAATGCTGTTCTTTATCTGTTTGTAGATAAACAGATCAAGCTCTGGGAAAAATGAGGAGAAAAAAGGCAGCAAGGGAAATGGGAAAGGCGAGTCGGTTTCTGAAGGTGGAAAGACAGCTGTGGTGTTTTCCTTGAAGAATGAAGTTGGCGGATTGGTGAAAGCTCTCCGGCTCTTTCAGGTAAAGCTTACATATCATTGTGCTGATCAGGTGAGGAAGAATACTGAGGTCAGGCTCTTTGTTGGTATAAATTAATGCACCATAGAGTGCAGTTACTTTTAGTGAATCTGCAGAGTGTAACTTCGGGCTTTATGGGTTGTTCAACAAGGCATTTAAGACTCTCAGAGAATTTTCTGGAACAGAGTTTAACTGTGATGGTGATATTCGCACTATTCACTTTAGATTTCCAAAGTGTGATTCTCAGCATCATAAATTAGGTTTGAAGTTCTTTGTGCAGACCATGATGAAAGGAAGCAGTTTCAGAGAGCAGTTCAGAGTCTGAATTATATGCTCAAAGTCAGATGGCGATGACAACCTTGTTGCAGAACAGTGTTTGGTCATAAATTTAAGTGCACCTTTAAGTGCTTGCAGGGTCAGAGCTTTCTGTCTAACTGGAACTTACATTGTGAAGCATTGGTTTCCAGATAGATCCCCATGCAATTGGTGGTTTTCAATCTGACTGCTGGTACTCTATGTAGTCTGCTTACCTTATTAATACATTGAAGAGGACTTGAAGGCATTTCTAAGGACAATTCAGGCAAAGCACCATGATGAAAACCTTAGGCTGCTCAGTCTGCGCAGTGAAGAAAATGTTAAGAGGTGATTTGGAATCTACCGCTTCATGCTAAACCATTAGAGGGGTATAACTGTGGGAGCACAGGGTGTTACTGAGCCTAAATGACAGGAGTTGGTTCTGGGCGCAGATTCCCCAGGCTGATGCAGATATCTAGACTGTCCAGATGTTGAAAGTGGAGTGAGCTGAGCTTCTGTTGCACAACAGAAGCAGGAGAGGGCTAAGCAAGCCAATAGAAACTGCAGGAACTGTTTTCAACGCATCTTCTTTCCGAAGTGCAGCTCTGGCTTAAATTATTCAATGGGTTCAGACCCAAAATCCTGAATATATATGTCTGCTCTACCTTGAGAACAATTTGCTAACATACAATTCATTTGGCTTTCTAAAATGTATTTGGAAGATGTTGCAGAGAGATCAACTGCATTCACATAGTTGCTGAGCAATTTGAGCACGGGAAGGGTGGGATTATGTTGTCATCTAAACCTAGGGTTAATCAAAGCCACTTTCTCTACTTCAGAAGAGAATGTCTGAAACCATCATCCCTGTGTCAGTTGAAAAGGAGTCCTGTGGCCTGGTTTACTCAGGAAGAGATCATCAAAATGATTCTGCTTGGCTTCTGTAATCTGCTAGTCTACAATCAGCAGATTCAAAGCCCTCAGCAAATGGAGTCTTTTCCTTCTGCAGATTTGTTGCGTGAATGTGTTAATTAAGAAGACGCAGTGTATACATACTTCATGGAGTGTGCCAGTGAAATAGTTGCCTACTATGTGGATTCACATGTGGAAGATCAGAAACTGCTGGCTGCCTGTACCAGAGGGGACCTTCATTTGAAACTTGAAAAAGCTTTCCTGAGGAATATGCCATCAATATTGCAATCCTAACTGATATGTCTATATTTAATCCATTGTTTCTTCTTTCTGCAGGAGAAACATGTGAGCATGGTTCATATTGAATCACGAAAATCAAAGAGAAGGAACTCAGAGGTAGAAATTTTTGTGGATTGTGACTGCAGTAAGAAGGAATTTAATGAGCTAATCCAGTTGCTCAAGTTTCAAACTAATATTGTGTCTCTGAATCCACCAGAAAACATCTGGACTGACGAGGAAGGCAAGGCTATTTCTGTATCGCTGTTTTATAGACTCACAAATGTTTTGCACAGTTATAGCCATAATCTTATATTCAGTATATTTAACTCACATTCTATCTTCTGCAGATCTTGATTGTGTCCCTTGGTTTCCTCGGAAGATATCTGAATTAGACAAATGTTCACAAAGAGTATTGATGTATGGATCTGAGCTGGATGCAGATCACCCTGTAAGTGTAAAATACAATTGTATTGCAGATAATTTGTTCACATTCTTTGCCAGTCAAATAAAAATCCTGTTGACTGCTGGTTTTGAGTGCTTTTCTGAGCATGGTCGGTGTTTAGTTCTGTTCACTGTTTCCAATGAATTAATTATCCTTTTCTGTAGCTGGACATGAAAGAAGGAAGTCCTCCATAAAGGACTCTTGAAAACTTTGTCTTTTTTTCTGTTCTCATTCATTTACTTCTTATTTAGCTGGTTGTTAGAAGTTTTCAGACAAAGAGAAGAGTTTAGATCACTGTGACCTTAGGGGCTGTCACAAGTGGCTCTTAAATAAGAATAGATATAAACTTAGTTGTCAGAGAAAAAATAATTGTGGAAAAAGACTTCCTGGCCACTCAGGAGATAATTGCAAAATAAAACAGCAGCACCTTCCTGTTTCTGTGCGCAGAAAGGAATGCAACAGATGGGAAGGTGTCTCATATTGTTTCCTGACTTCAGTGACAGGAGTCAAGCTTGCATTTCATATAAGTGATACCTGCAGTGGTGCCAAATGCTCAGTGTAAAAAGACAAAAAAAAAAAAAAAAAAGGTTTGTTTTATTCCATTTGGCTCAAGTCCGTACATGCTGAACATCTAATTCTTTACATAGCAGATGATTGCAAGCATTTGTGTTAAGGGATTTTCACTTGTTTCAAATCGAGGTTTCCACCTTTGGACCTGTTGGTTGAGCAATACTAATGGCAACTTATTGTATTATTCCTACTCTGAAAGCTGAATTCAACTGGTATTATAGGAAGCTCCCAGGTGAAAGGAAGGAATAAACTGAAGTACCTGAATATGAGCTTTTCCTGCACTGTGGGCCTGCAGTTGGGAAGCATGTTCCTGGGTCCTGATTTCTGCCACATACTTCTTAGTGACAAGCTAGGATTTACCTACTATTTTTCTCAGAATGGAAAAATCTGTTGATTACCTTCAACCATTAGCAGTAATTTGGTTCAAACAGAGGCCTTAATGGCGACTCATTCTAGCCTTGAGTTGATGATTGTGATGAGCCATTTGATACTGTTTTATGTTCTGAGCTGGTGCCTTCATTAAATTGTTGAGTGCTCTACTGAAAATCTGCCTTCAGTTTTACAGACAATGAAAAAAGACATTTGCATTATATGAATATATATTTTACACTTGAGGGAACTATTATGAACATAATTTACACACCATTTGTTAGCGTATGCAGCACGCTAGATATTAGAGATGGGGGAAAAACTATAAAATCTGTGATTGGCCTTTCAAATGCCAGTTCTGGTGCCTGCTCTGTTCCTTCATAGTAATGTATTGATGCCAGACCAAAGAGAATTGCTCCATTATGGAATCAGTACAGCACTAGTTTAGGTTCTAACCCATTCCATATTGACTAGCGGTTTCAGTCTTGATTTCTCTGCACGTGCTGGACATTTGAGTCACCTATGCTGTCATCCATTCTATTTTGTCTGTTGCATGTTACAGCTGAGTAACAATGCTAGTGTAAAGGGTATTAAGCAGACAGACGTACGCTCCAAAATGTCACAAGTTTTTGCCTGTCAAAAAGCTTCTCTATAGGAGCGGTGTTGATTATAGCGCCGTTCTTGACTCTTCTGTAGCATTTCACAGGAGGGTGCTATGCCCTGTTGAAAGCAGGCCACAAAAATGCAAGATTAGGTAGGCAGGCAGTTGTTTGCATGGAGTTCATGATAGTTATGCGCAGCAAGTTGATAACCAAATGAATGGCATGTTTTAAAAAAAAATAAATAAATTGTATACTCATAGAATGGCTTGGGTTGGAAGGGACCCCAAGGATTGTCAAGTTCTAACCCCTCTGCCACAGATGATAAGGCTGCTCAGGTCCCCACCCAGCCTGGCCTTACGCATTTCTGGGGGTATCCATGACTTCTCTGGGCAACCTGTTCCAGCACCTCACTATTCTCTCAGTAAAGAAGTTCCCCCTGCCATCTAATCTAAATCTCCCTTCTTTTAGTTTAAAATGATTTCCCCTTGTCCTATCGCTATCCATCCATGTAAAAAGTTGATTTTCCTCATGTTTATAAGCTCTCTTTAAATACTGGAAAGCTGCAATGAAGTCTCCCCCCAGCCTTCTCTTTTCCAGGCTGAACAAGCCCAGTTCCTTCATCCTGTCTTCGTAGGAGAGGTGCTCCAGCCCTTGATTTGTCCTTGTGGCCTTCTCTGGACTCTCTCTGACAGCTCCACATAATTCCTGTGTTGGACGCCCCAGACCTGGACACAGTACTTCAGCTGGGGCCTCACAAGGGCAGAATAGAGGAGGGCAGTCTCTTCTCTCATCCTTCTGGCCACCCCTCTTTTGATGGAGCCCAGGATACCATTGGCCTTCTGGGCTGCAAGTGCACACTGCTGGCTCATGTTAAGTTTTTCATCAGTCAGAACCGCTAAGTCCTTCTCAGCAGGGCTACTCCCATGGAGTTCTCCCAGCTTGTATACACTGGATTGCTCAGTACCTGAAGGGTGTTGTGTAAGGCATTTGCTGTCCTGTGTGATAGTGGAGGCTTGAATTCTCTCTACAGTCCTCTGACATTTTCCCTTGCTCAGCCCTAGCAGCGCAGCTTTGGTTATGGGGCCATAAAATACCTTTTGAGTTTTCTCATGCAAACTCATAAACATTTCAAGTCAAAATACATTGTGTTTTCATTCCCTTTGCAAATCTGTATATGTGAACAGTAAGGAAAAAATGTGTTCTACTTTTCAGCTGTGTCTAGGTGATGGGAGCATCCCATTTACGTCATGGCACTTGAGGAAATTTAAATGCACTTTCTGAGCTACTAGTTGTGGCACTTAGATAACTATTCTTTTCCATCTTCAAGAGGTTACAAGTCCTGCTTTGAAAGTAGGCAGCTCTTTTGTAGTCTAAAACCTAAATTGTCTAAATTTTTTGTAGATATAGAAGAGAATGTTTTGATTTTGAATAGCTTGAAGGGCTGTTACTGACTCTAGTCTGTATGTGTAATACAGCTCTTTTGCACTTAATATGCAAAAAGCAAGAACCTGCTGTAGCCTAATATGTAGGGCGTTTGATCTGCAGCTCAAATTGGAGCAATGTGTGTATTTGCTGTTGGAGGCTGTTGGCTCAGTCTCTAATGTGTTGGTTAAGATGGCAACTGCTGAAGTAGCATCTTCAAAATGAGTTACTTGTGAACTCTGGGCACCTTCTGTCTTCTAGTGATGACAGATGTATTAAGAAAAGGTCAGTTATTCTGCTTTATGCCTGCCTGTAGATCTCCATACAGATTAAGGAAAACCTGCATGAGATGAAATGACAGGAAAACAGTTTTGCTTTTTCAGTGCCTTGGAAAAATGACTACCTATGCACAAACGTATCTTAAAAACACCCCTGTGGGACTTCGGTGGGGGGAAAAAGGCAAAAGATATTTTTCTCTTACAATCCATAAGATGGTGTTGATCAAAATACAATATAATTTGGTACTGGATAAACACTTAAATGATTTATAATTCTCACAGCTAATTTTCTGTCTTTGTTATAAATTACTTTCTTCTTCCTTGCTTAAGGGATTTAAAGACAATGTCTATCGACAGAGAAGAAAATACTTTGTGGATGTTGCCATGAGCTATAAATAGTAAGTACTGGTATAATTCTTCCCTGGGCTGCTGACTAGTTAGAATTCATGCTCTACTTCATTCTGTAGCAAGAAGTTTTGCAGTAGACAGAGTCATCCTTTAGACTACCACCGGTTCAGCTATGCAAACCTGATGCTTGAAATCCTGTTACATTTTCAGAACAGATACAGACAAGGAAGGAAAGCATTTGAAATACAAGCACTATCCTTTCAGCATTTTATTAATAGCAAATTAAAGTTAAGGAACTGTTATTAATGAAAAACTGATGCACTGCTGAATTGTATGTAGCTAGTGTCCCTGTGTGGTTGCTCTATGCCAAATCATTATTAGCTATTTAACCAAAGAAAGTTGTGTTTCTTGTGAGGAGGACTGTTAGACATACCTGGAATAGCACCCAAACGAAAGTGGAGCACTATGCTTCACACAAGGGCCATGTTTGTCGTAACAGTTTGACTCCTACCATTGTAACAGGATGAATTCTCAAAATTAGTCACAATTAGGACTAAAAATGAAAATGAATGACATCTCTACCTTCAGGTACAGGATAAGAGTCAGGTCCTGAGGATCCTAAGATTTGGTCCAAATCTGGGAAAGCTGTAACTTAACGGTTAACTTACAGTTAGCTGTAGCTGTCTGAACAAGGCAATAATAGGAAATGATTCTTTTCTTTTCATGCTCTTAATATGCTGGATGCTGTAAAATGCCTTTTATGAATGTTGCTACCACGGCTATCAACTTCTCAGAATTCACTGAGTGGATTTCCCTGTAGTTTATGGAACTGGTGTCTATGTATAAGTATGCTGTTTGTGGTTCTGCCTTCTGATCTTTTTCCTTGTCAAATCAGTATTTTCAATTTGCTGCCATGTCTGGAAGTTGGGAAACTTTCTGTGCTACTTAAGAATACCTACCATGTTGCAATTTTCTTCTCAAGTAAGGATTCAGCTAATTCTAATTAGGCTCTGTTTTGTTTGCCCTCGCTCTCAGCGGAAGGAGCATACTAATTTCATGTTCCTTTCCATTTTCAGATTTGTGCTTTTCTTTTTCTCCTTTGAGATTTCAAAGTATATTGTTTAAAGAATGCAGAGCACAACAGTTATTTTCTCCCTTCATGAAAGGCATATCCTATCAGGAAGCAATTCAGAAAAGCATTTTAGAAGTTTTTTTGGTTCTGCTTTCTTTGTTCTTATTGTAAAGTTAATTCATGAGCTGTAGAAGATTGGAGGTTGGGACAGGAAAACTAAGTCTACTTTGTGACCATATAATCCTAATTATCTTTTTCCTTTAGTTTTGTTCCATTCCTGTTGTTATGCTCTTACCAATACAGTAAATGTCCAAGCACCAGTGTTTGGTTTTCCTTTCTTCAGCCCTCGGTGGCATTTGTTTGCCTGGGTGCTCATAGCACTCTTACAGAACTGATGTTCTGCATGCTGCGACAGGATGGTGGGTGGAGAAGCTTCCCAGGCTCTGGGTTTTGATCCCTTTGTCACTGTAAGTCCTAAGCTTAGCCAGTTTTCAGATTAAAGTTGAGGCAAGTTTTTTGTTTGCTTACAGCTGATTGATTTTATTTCCCAGTCTCATGCTTGCTGCAGAGTTAGTTATTCTTTCCTAACATCTGCTGCAGTGTGAAATGTCAAGCAGATACCTGTGGATGAGGGCATACTGTGTGCTTCTAGATCTCTCTTGGTAAACTAGGACAGTTCTCCTCTTATTAGTAAGGAAAATGGTAGTGTCCTGCATCTCACAGCTGCTAGGCTGTTGGCAATATCTTCCTCTTTTCTCCCCCTCTAAGCTGTCTAAATGCTGGAAAGGTCCTGCTGGCTCACTGAGCAGTGGTTGGTGTTCTGCTAGAAGGGTTTATTTCTCTGAAACTGGCAAGAAACATCTTTTCTGAGAAATCTTGCACATTTCCAGAAAAAGAGATAAAAGGAAGGAAAATGCTTTTTCTTCTTTAGATTTTGAAGACTCAGTACCCATTTCTGCAGATTACAAAAATCAAAAAATTTGAAACAGAGGCTATCTGGGGGCAAATCTACTCACAAATACTCCCTCATCCCAGTGATATTTTCAAATGTTGTAAGACATTTCACATTCTTCATGGTAGCAGCTGGAACAGGAAAATGAGATTCTTTGAATGTTTTTAACCAAAAAATGGCTTAGAGGCCACTGACCTTCACAGTTACCTAAAATGTGGCAAAAACTCATTCATATTCCTCAGATCTGCCAACATGACTTTTTTCACCCCTCGGACATGCCATATCCATGGAGCTGTACAGTCGGTCTCTCTCTGGATACATCTGCTCTTAGAGACAGCCTAGCGAGGAGAAAATCAGGAGGAGCCTGTGCTGCTGCAGCTGAACTAGTTCTGCTACCCATGCTGGTGCATTCAGAATTAGTTTAGGTGTCTTAACACTACATTGCAGTGTCATTGCACCTTCTTTTGTGGTCTGAAAGACTACTTATTATTTATACAAAAAGAATAGGTATGTCAGGAAATGTTGGGAGAGCTTCACGATAGGGTAAAATACAACTTATGGTATAAGGGCTTCTCTTAGAGGCAAATTTAGAGTATTGTCGCTAACCTCTCAGTATTTCTTCCTCATTGAAAGCTGAGGTTGATGCATTGCTAATTTTCATCCTCCAGTGTTTAAAAAACCCCGCAAACTTGGTTCCTTAAAAAAAAAAAGAGATTTGGCCGCAAAAAATTGGCTCAAGGAAATGGCTCTGTCAAAAATTATTGAGTTGAAAATCCCTGACTGACATTTCCTTTATGAGTTGCTGTTCTGAAGCAGTAGATGTCCTTCTTTGATAGAACATAAAGAGGCCTCAGCTGGGGACAGAGAGAAAAACACTAAGATGTGAACCTAGAGGAGCAGATCCTTGCTGGTGCTAGGTGTTAAAGGGAAAGATGTGCTAATAGAGCACATCAATGAAGATTGACTCTGTGAAATAAATGGACCAAAAAATAAATATTCCTCCCTCCTTCACATAGCTTATATCCTAAAGATAGTGGAAATGTGTTAAACTTGCTAATTAGCCCTTTGAGACTGATTAGAGATTGCAGAAGTGTTGAGAAAATTAAATCTGGAAGAGAAATGCAAGGCTTATAGAGGGGATTCATAATATGAGTTGATAGCTCATGACTGTGGCAAAATGGAAAGACCATTTTAATAAGGGGAAATGAAAATTCAGGTTAGGTTAGCCTTTAATGTCCTTGCAAAGCCAGTTTGCTTGTGGCTGACTAGGCTGTCCTTTGGTGTGATTTATTGGGTGATGAAAGCAAGGTGGGTCATGCTTGTAAGAGGGTGAGAAAAGTGAAAGAATGGCACAATCTTGAGTCTGGCTACCTCCATCCTGTCAATAAAGAAAGCACTCTTAATAAAGAAAGCAGTATCACCATCATCTTTAAATAAGATCAGTGCTACTAGGCATAAATTCTAATAAGGAATTAATGTTCAGTGAACCTTATTTCAGTACTAATGAATTAATTGAAACAATTACTATATTATAAAACTCCTAGAGAAGAGTGAACAAGCGTCAGGACCCTGGTTTTCTTTATACTTTTCTAGTTATGTGCTAAATAGAATCTTGATTTTTTTTCCCACTGGCACTCAGATTTCTTCAGCTTTGCTGGGCCAGTGCTGACCTGTAATGGCAGTATCCATAGTAGATGCTGCATCTAGGGAAAAGGGATGAGGCTCCTGCACAGCTCTGGTAGCCCTAGGTGGGTGGAGTACCAGTCTATGTGTACCTGGTGTGTATGATACGATTTAGAGTAGCTCTGTTATCCTTCCCATGAGCTGGCATCAGTTTAAGATTGATGGTCTGTGCAGGTGAAGACAGATACTGGATCTGAAGGATTGGCTCCCACAGCATAACAGACATGGACCCAGTGCAGCTTCTGCTGGTGAGCAATGCTTCACCACATGCATTGCAATTCTTGTCGTGTCTGCAAAAGAGTGGCTGAAGGAGAACTAGCAAATTTAATGTATTGGATCCTCAGGGCGTTTTTGACAAGTGTGAGCTTCTCATACAAAGTATCCTTTGACTGACAGATACCTCTATGGATCAGAATACTTTGACATAGTGAAAGGTGAGGGGATTAAATAGTAAGTTTTCAGCAAAGATAAGGGGACAACCACAAACAAATGTAGGGCAGAGGCTCTTCTCTTTGTGCATGGAGAGACTGCTTAACAGCAGTCACATGTGACAAAAGGGCTCGTTCCTTGTTACTTGGCATGGTGAAGACAAGGTTATAAACCAGATGAGAGCCAGGAGGGAAACTCAACTGCTCTAGCAAATACACAGCACTGTAGTTCTGCTGCAGCAGGATTATGCTGTGCACACTGCTGGTGGGACAGCCAAGGCTGTTGTCTGGGTCTGTGGAGGATGCTGCAACACTGAGCTGGGAATAGCCATGGTGCCAGCTCTGTGGCTGGGCTGTGGGAGGTAGGGACCTGGAATCCCTCTGCCTAATGTGTGCTCATCAGCAGTCTGAGGGAAGAGAAGGATACCTTAGGAGATGGCAGATTTTGTAGTTGCTTGTAGTAGATTGTGAACATTAAATCCAGAGAAAGATTATAAAGTTTCTAGAGGGAAGTCATAATGATAGATGAAGATTATGTCACGGGAAATTCCTTAAAGCTAAATGCAAGTCAGTGCAAATTGGAAGGAGCCCCTCACACTCTGTGCTGTCGTTCAGTTTTGAATTAGCTGTAACCACTTGAGGCAAATCTTGGATGTGAGAGACAGATCAGCAAGCTCCCTGGGAGGCTCCTGCTCTGCAATTTCTCTGCATCTATGTAAGGTGGAGGAGGCAGAGAAATTGTGCAGAAGAAAAATACTGAGAGATGTATTTAAAATCTTAGTTTAATTTATTCTGGGCTGTTGGCTGCGAGGTGGGCTTCCTCATCATGTAGTCTTGAATGAACGTGGGGTTCCAAACACACATGCACAATGGTCTAAATAATAAGTATATGTACTTTGTTGTTTCTATGTGTTTCTAAACATCTAGATAATTGCCTAATCTTCATTTTTAAAATGAGAGCCTGTGAATATTGTGTGTTACAGGGAACAGACAGAGCAATCAACTGATGGTTTTACTGAATGTACAAGTTAAACTGAATTTGGAGCTTCAGCTAACCATTACAAAAGTGGCAGAAAGCAAAGCTATTACTTTGGTATACAGATGCATCATATAAGAAATCCGTCTTTCTGTTATGTTATGGAAGTCATCTCACTGCATATTAAGAAATGCAGTTCTTATGAAATAAATGTAATACGTACAACATAGCATTAGGAAAAAATTCTAAGGAATTCTAAGGATCTAGTCATCACTTTAAAGTAGTTTGTTTTTTTTTTTAACAAGCTCTATGTAGTTATAATTATTAAAGTAGCACAGAAATTCTGCCATCCAGAGTCAATATACAATCTGTATTCAAATATACTCTATAATATCCCTTTTTTTTTTCCCCCTCAACAGTGGTCAACCCATTCCCAGAGTGGAGTACACAGCTGAAGAAATTAAAACATGGGGGGTGGTGTTCAGGGAACTCAGTAAACTCTATCCCACCCATGCTTGTCGTGAATATTTAAAGAACTTTCCTCTGCTGACTAAGTACTGTGGATATAGAGAGGATAATGTGCCTCAGCTGGAAGATGTCTCTGTTTTTCTTAAAGGTAAGATTCATGTTTGATTTATCAGTAGGTAATGCTTCTTGAAACACTCCTTTCTGTTAGAATGTAATGCAAAGCATATTGAATAGAAAGGCTCCCAGTGCTATCAGCCAGCTGTGGTTTATCCTTTTTGTGGAAGAGGATATGAAGCTGAGATGAGTTAAATAAATAATCACATGCCGCATTGGTGTTGTCCTACACAGGGAGAAAAGTCCTTGTGTATGGTGAAGAAGAGCTGAGTTAGCTCTGCTGTTCTCATAATGGAGCGTGGGTGTCCTGGTAACCACAGTGTGTGTTCCCACTTATCTAAGCATTTAAGGAAAAAGGAAAATATGAGGCTCTCCAGACTGCTTAAAACCTCATGAGGCTCACACTGATGTATGGAGAAAATCAGTGGGGTTCCATGGATGATCTACAACTTCTGTGGTATTTTTAAATGATCAGGATATCACTTATTTAAGTTTGGAAATACTCTGCTTTCTCATCTGTGATGGAAATGTATCCCATGTGGAAGGAGAAGCGACAGATGAGAAGAACCTGTTGGTTTTTAACTCCAGAGCTGCCAAAGCGTTCAATTAAGATTTTCTCTTCTCCCAGGGCTTCTTTCAGACACACATCCTTATGCCTTAATCTTCTTCCTCAGGTGCTCAGGAATTAAAATACTGTACAGACATGTGTTTAGAAAACAGTGTTATGGGCTGTTAAGTGTTATGTAGAGGAAAAAAAGAAAAAGGCTAAGTGTGTTCTCCCAAGCATAGATTTTTAACTAAAAGAAATACAAAATTGGTAATGAGTGGCTTACTTTCCCCAGTCCCTGCTTCATCCTTAGCTCTTGTTTGTCAGTAATTGCATTTACTGATAAGTGACTCATTGATCTTTTGATTTTGATGTGTCGTGGGATTCTCATAGACTGCACTATGATCCCTAAGGAATTAGGCTCTTTTTCCTTAACTAGAAACATAAAAATTAGCATATTTTTCACAAATATGTTTTTAGACTGAATAGAATGCACTAATATCTGTTGAAGAAATGCTTGGAACAGTATCTTGTAAACGCTTGCAAGGAATTAAGAATGAGTTTGGGGGAGAAATGTCCTCTTCAAAGTTATTCAATCTGAAATAATTCTCCACTGGGACTAATCTGTCAACTGAACACTTTGTTAAACATTTAAATGAGGACTTTAGATTTGAAATTCAGTATTTTACTATCACAAATCAGTATTTATCTGTAAAAAAAATAAGGGCAGGTTTGGTTTAATCCTATTTTGTTCTGTTTGTTTTCAATACATTTTGCGGAAGTCATCCTCTGTTTTGGATAACTTTTTCCTGCTTTGCTGCGAGATGTAAAAATCAGATGCTTTGTGATTTGAGAGCATCCCTTATGGCACTTTACCTTCCTTTCTATACAAAGTTATTTAAACAAACTTTGAAGTACCTCGAGGTGTTTTCATTAAAAATACACTAGCAATGCAAAATAATTCTTGTTCTTAATAGATGAAGATTATGTGTGGTGACCTTCAGCCATGACTCTCCATGCCATGTTTCTGGTAATTAACTGCAGACCCGTTACTTGTCCTTAGAAATTGATATAGTAATTTATAATATGGTGTTTTATTATCTCCTTCACTTCAGAAAGGTCTGGCTTCACAGTGAGACCGGTTGCTGGATATCTCTCTCCTCGAGACTTTTTAGCTGGCTTAGCATACAGAGTTTTTCACTGTACTCAGTATGTACGACATGGCTCGGATCCTCTCTACACCCCAGAACCGTAAGTTGCTTCATTTGCTTTCATGGTGAAAAAATGTGCTTGTAGGATTCTTAAAAGACCCAAGTGAACTAGGCAAGGTTGAAAAGAAGAACCGTGTCACAAATGTAGCTACCCTGTCAGTGATAAAGCCCTTCATGCTGAAGAATCTGAATTTGATTAGGAGTTTTCTCATGGACTTTTTACAAAGGTCTTAAATAGCTGTGTTATTTATCTAGTGGATCAAAAAATCTACCTGTATTATTTTGTAGTGGAAGATGGAGCTTTCAAATATGTACTTTGAAAAAGTGACTATAGTTCGACTTTTTCTGGTGGACAGCTAAAGAAGCAAGCTTGAAAGGGAAGCCCTGAATCTCTTGAAAAAATTTGCTTTTGAAATTATAGTTTGGTTGTCTTGTATCTCCATTTATCTTTTTGGGGCCAGACTCTGCAGCTGAGCTTTGTACTGTGCCTATGAAACAGCCAAAGCAAATCATGAGGCACAGTTCTTTCACTCAGAGAGGGTGTTATGTATGAAGTTTGTTACAGAGGACATTATTAGGAAGAAGATGAACATCAATTATGACTCTCATGGAACAACACTGCAGCTTTTTTGGAACAGAATATTATGTGTTGAGATGAAATATTCTAGCGGTTGATCTCTTGATGAAAATGTGGAAGGAAAAAAAGACTGAAGTGATTTTGATTGTTGTGTTACACGTGTTGTGCTCTGTGCAGTACTAACATGCCAGCTAGTATGGAGGCAGTTTCACCAAAAGCATCAGCTAATCTTGCAAACCACAGGAATGGTATTTATGTAGTGAATCACTTACCAGAAAGCTACCATGAAATTGCAGCATTGATTATTCAGCTCATGCTACTTTCTGTAAAATTTGGCAGAAATAAAGGGTTCATATGTATGTATTCAGCTTCACTCATGTGAACATTTGGACCCAGGCCTAACTTTGATTTCCTGAATAGAGTGCTGAAACCATGGAATAGTATTTTTTTTTTATGTGAAAGGATTAATGGAACTGCATAGTAAGCTGCATCTAGAAATGCTCTAACGTTATTCTGGACAGAGGCAGCAGGTGGTGCTGTACCATGCATATCCACTCATCTTTTCAGTGTGTGAACAGAGCAGAGTATCTGCTGAGGTACCGTGAGGCTAGTTTTGTGTGCATGTTTGTGTTGGATAAAAGGTGCTGGTCTCTGAATTAATGCACTCGCTTCTGTAATCTCTGTAATTAGGACTTTAACTTTTGAAAGTTTTAAGGTAATTGCTACAATGTAAAACCCAGAAAGAGTGCCTTGTATGTATGGTGCTGGACCTCCTCTGGTCTGCCTGAGAACATCTGTAGGTATTTCAAAAAAATAAATTACACTTAGGAAATACTAGGCATTGCACCAAATATTTTCTTTACTGTTTGCAACACCTGCCAATATTCAGCAATACTCAGATTTTTATTAACCTCATATATAATTAGGAGTGGGCTTTCATCTATTGATAGGGGATTCAGGTATATAACTCTAAGTGGAACATCATCCAGGAAACAAGCAAGTGTGCCTGTATTATTGCTAATGTTCTCATGTTCATTGATTTGTATATTTGTGACCTGTATGGTTTTCAGGATACTGCTTACTTTCAGAATTACTCTGTATCATACTAAAACCTTAGTAATTACACCTACTTTCTGTAACCTTTCTAGTTGTGGCATCTGGAAAGTCACTGTCTGGTAATACTTATTAAAATAGAATTAATAATTTTGTTCCCTGTTTGGGCTGAGCTTAAAAATTCAGGTTTTGGTCTTAACAGCTCTAAATATGACTAATAGAGGTAGGAAGTTGTCACGCCCTAATTATGTTGCTTTCTTTCTGCAGACCTGCTTGTTCTGAAACTATTTAAAATGTTGCACTGACTGGGAGGAACTCTGTAGGAAAACTTTGAAAATCCCTTTCAAATTGTGTGTGATTTCTTTTCATAAAATGGAGCACATAGTAATTGTTATTGGAAATGTAGAGTGAAATTCTGGCTTTGTTGAAATCAATGGCAAAACTAAACTGACTTGAGGAAGGACAGCTCTTCATCTTCTGCTGCAGCTGCAATGCCCTGAGATGTACTAGTTGATATATGGGACCATAATGAGGTTTGTTGCAGGTCCATGGCTTGGTGAATGTTGCATTTCAATGATATAAACCTGCTAAAAAGACTCCTTTTGATTTCAGTGGGCTTTCCATCAGATTTAACACCCAGGATATAGAGCTAGATACAAATTAGAGAGTTCATTTGGTTTGATCTGTATCACTACTATATGCATTTTAAAACATTTCTTCCTCAGTTTCATTATGTTCCTACTACATTCACAGAGTTATATAGATTTCCTCTGCTCTGCTAATTTACTTCAAGAAAAATCTTTTGCTGTGAAAAGTGCAATACAAAAATCTTATTTTCTCTGAGCGATGTGTGGGAATAAATTAAAGGAACTTAATTATTTTCTGAATAAAACAAAACAAAAGAATCAAGCCTTGGTAGTTAAGCAAAGAATTATGTTGTTTAGGCTATCTATAAAGGACCAGACTGGCAGGGAAATCTAGCAGACTCCAGTGACAATCTCAAATGCTGGTTCATGGTTCTTCCTGGAAGGTGTGGGCTTTTGTGGTGTTTTTCTGTTACTGTTTAGTTTTTTGTTTTTTCCCCGTGCTCTTTGGTTTCAAGCTTCCTTTTTTTTATAACTACTCAGTTAAAACAATAGTTTTAATGGAAAAATCTACAAACTGAAGGCAGAAGTATTTTCTGCCTCTGCATTTTCCTCCTCTTACCAGCAGAAAGACAAGTTTATAGGGCCAGGCTAGCCTTTGTCTGTTCTCTTTTTGTGTGAGGGTGGAAGTGACATTAAGAGCCTATACCCCAGTGCAGAACTAGGAAAAACACATCTTTGCTCACTTGTTTCTGGGAGCTGCAACTTCTGCACAGGAGAATAGAGATGTACATAGTCACTCAGGTACCACAAGCATTGCAGAATCCTTCCTGGAGCCAAGAACTTGAAGCCAGTCCCGCTTATTTTTTCTTTGTTCTCCTTATTTGAACTACTGGTATGAAGTTACCTTAAATAGATCTGGTGAAGTGTTCGGCAGTCTGTGTTGATTTCTTCAGTGTGGATGGGAAGTGGAACTACAAGCTCTGGACTTCCAGGGAGTGCGTTTGTGGCCCCTTTCTGCACTGAAGGTAATGGCTAGAGAAATCAGACTCCTCCAGTGAATTGTTTGGCACTGGTAATTCTCTCAGTGTATCCATCATACAGCAAACTCCATTTTTCTGCAGTTCTTTGTGTTATTAGTGAGCTAAACCTTGCAGGAGATGACAAGAAATTGCTGTGACTGAAACTAAATTAGTAAAAAAGGGTCATTACCCTTTGATTATCTGCCCAAGTGATGCAAACCATCTCCTGAACAAAGAGATACCATGCAGAGCAAGCCAATTTTTCAAGTCTGAACTCTAATGAGGAAAGGAATACTATCTAAGCTACAGGTCTTGTGGTAGGAAACTTTGATCATCTTTCACGTCTCAGAGCACCACCAAGCGAAAGGGTATGGAGGCAAGGAAAGAAAAGCCTTCTTGTCAGCTGTTTTGAAGAAAAACAGAGAAAGCAGGAATCCCTTGTGTTCTAGAAGGGCATGCTGTGATATAGAAAAAAGGGAGAAAAGATCTTACTTTAAGAAACACAAACTTTGCCAGAGAATGAGAGAGGAAAACAAAAAAGCAAACAATTTTCTTTAGCTAAGTAACTAAGTCTGATACTGTTCCTGGCCAGCTGTACGTATCGTACATGTTCCTTAGCTATTGAATAGAGAGATAAGAACACCAGTAAAGGTAAGCATACAATCATAGAAGATCCTGATTTGGAGGGCACTGATAAGGATCATCGAAAGCAACTCCTGGCTGCACACAGGATCACGCAAAAATCAAATCCTTATGTCAGCAGTGTTGTCCAAATGCTTCTTGCACTTTGTTGCCTTGATGCTGTGACCACTGCCCTGGGCTGCCTGTTCCATGGCCTGACTACCCTCTAGTGAAGACCATTCTCCTAATCCCCAGCCTCACCCTCCCCTGACAAAGCTCCATGCTGTTCCCTCTGTTCCTGGTGCTGTTACCAGAGAGCAGAGCTCAGCGCTGCCCTTCTGCTCCCCTCAAGAGGAGCTGTAGGCCACCACGGGTCCTCCCTTCAGCCTCCTCTTTTTCAGGCAGTACACTCAGTCGGTATTACTGCAACTGAATCTCTAGTCAGTGTCTATGGAACGTGTGCTCATGTGTCATGAGCGTTTGCTTATGTCCCCCGCATCTTTTGGAAATACTTATGCCTGGGAAAGAAGAGAAATGAGATTTGATAATTATTCTGGATGATGGAATGAATTACTTAAATGTGAACTCAGTTCCAACTTGTCGTGCGCAGCTTCAGAGCTGTATGCATCTCACCAGAAAGTGCGAATGTAACACGAGCAAATGTTGGTAAGCAATGAGTGCGACCATCTGAGCGGAGAAGATGGCCTACAATACCCAAACTGCATTTCTGATAGGCTGTTGCTGAGGCAAACTAGGAATGCCAGAAGTGCTATGGTAATGCTCGTTTGCACACATTCAGAAGGTAGTGTCTATCTAGGCACAGTTGGCACAGAATTTATGGTAAGAAATAGCGAATAAGAATCGGAAACTCTAAATTATATATAGCGTTGTTTTTATGATTTATCTGAAGTGTCAGGTTCTGTGTCTTTTAGAACAAAAATAGTTTATAAAAGACGAATAGGATGATCTTGGATAGAAAGCAAATATCTTGATGTTTTCTCCCTGCCTTTAAAACATTTGTTTACAGCTTAAAAGAAAAAAACAAGAGAAATGTCTTTGAAGAGACAAAAGCAAAGGAAATGTCAGATCTGATTTTTTAAAGTGAACTTTACTACCAAGTCCATTATTTTCTGTGAACAAATGCACCAAAACTTTCAGAATTGTTTGAGAGCTTTTGTAGATGATACATGTGCACTTTTGTGTGTTTGGTTAGCAGTTTTTTGTAGACTTATATTTGCACTTTGTTGTGACTAATAATGCACTTACAGGTGTAGACAGTAGTTCTTTTTGAAACAAGACAGGTTATCTGTTTTTTTCTGAAACCTTCCTGGTGAGAACTGGACTTCATAATAAAAGTAACCGCTGATTACAATAGGAAGTCAGGGCAAATGTGAAGTTAGACACACCAGTTAGCTTTGTAATTATCGTGCTAAATTTCTACAGGTAAGCTGCAAAACATTTGGTTGTGGAGCTGTACCGGGATGTGGAAAGGGGAATGGAGAAGAGGAAGAGTTTGTGTTGGGTTTTGAACTTGATTCGTGTGGATAGAATTGCTGTAAACTGTATTGTAAGACAAGCAATTTGCTCTTCATGGAACTAAGCCTGAAAGACAGCAGTGATTGTACCTTCCAGTTAGTCTGTAAACAATGGGGAAATCATGGAAAAAGTGGTGCTAATCCATTTAATAGAAATAAACTCATGTCTTTATGTAGAACTGTGCACAGGGAAGAACCGTAATGTAAAAAATATGTTTTGTGATAAGACATTTTGAGTAGAGGTCAGACCAAAATGGTGTATGTTAAATTGATTATGGAATTGCTATAGCATTTATTCCTGTAACGGCTCTCTTCTCATTCCCATTCCTCTAGGGATACATGCCATGAACTTCTGGGACATGTGCCTCTACTTGCTGATCCTAAGTTTGCCCAGTTTTCACAAGAGATAGGACTCGCTTCTTTGGGAGCATCTGATGAAGATGTTCAGAAATTAGCCACCGTGAGTTAAATTGTTCTGTAGCATGCTCTCTCTTACCTGTCATCCTTTTTGATTAATGAAGTGACATGCATTGTTTTTACCAGAGCTGGTTCAAATTATGAGTGACTGTGCTGTGACAATCACAGAGCTTTAGGTCTTTTTCCATTGTTTTTATTAGGAGCAAAGCTAAACACGCTAATGCTTGGGTAATCAGTTTTATTATTTATCTGGAGTAACAATCCAGTTTCAAGGGTTCACTGAAATGGATTTTGTTTGCTTTAAGGTACTGAAAACAAGTAAGTAAGGTAATTTTGGGGAAAAAAAAAAAAATAGAAGAAAATATTTTGGTGCACGCTCTCAGCTCTGCTTTGTTAGTTCCTCCACAGGTGGCCACTTTGGCTCTTAGCATTGCTGTTCCTGCATTCACTTATCAGTCTTGCAGATGCTCACTGCATTGTAGTGTGTGATGGATTTTAAAATGATTTTACATCCTTACTACTGTTTCTGTTGAAGAGTATGTAGTTACTAAGCCAAGATTAAGCAGCAGTAGATCTAGACTGTGGTCAACTGCCTCAGCCAGTGGCTGTGAGCTGAATTTTGTATTGCATCAATTTAACTGGACACTATTACAAGCAGATTCAATAAAAGCTCTATTAAACTATCATAGTTTTGATACACTGTCTTAGCAGTGTCTTAGAGTCTGCTGAAAAAGGAGTTTGTACCTCTTTTTTTTTTCTTTTTTTCTTTTTTTCTCCTGTAGCCTTCCAGAAGAGGCCAGCAAATTTATATAATCAGACAGCTCCACTCTCTGCTTAGACAGGCTTGATGTTTTGCTCCTGGCCTTTTCCTCTCACACATTTCAGAATATGTTCTTTGCTTTTATAATGGCTACCTGCTGAGAAGAAACTGTTGTTTGTAGGGAGGACTCAAGAAAGCTGTGTGTTTGCAAATTTGCTAGGAATGGACTTGGTAGGAAGCAGAGCTACCTTGTCATGACCTGCATCCTCAAGAAGAACTAGCTAACTGGCTATTTCAATGGGTATTCTGAGGAAAATAGTATGTCCAAGTCTTTCACCCCATAATAACCTTAGATGACATGGACGTGGACCTGTTGCAGCGTACAAGGTTGAGACTAATCTGTTTGGGAGAGATATTAATATAAAATGACCTCTGAATATTATATAAATGCTTTTACTCTTCCCCCTCACAGAAATTCAGTTATGACTGACTATGTCATCTGAACAATGAACTGCTCCCGAATCACAAAGCCAAAAATAAAAGAAGACAGTTGAATCACTTTTCCTTATCATACTGAGAATTTGATATCTGAGTCAAAGTTGATTTCTCCTCCCATGCTGGAAATAGCTCTTTCAGGTGGAAGAGACATTTAGAAAAGAGCCTTATGGTAACCCAGGTGTTGTTATTTTTCTGTGGATGCACAGTGAAGAGCTATTCTCCCCTGAGGCAGGTGCTTGACAAATACAGAGATGTAACTTGCCCTAAAATTTGCAATGTAAACAAAGTCAGTTTGAGAGCAAGTAGAAAGAACATCTCTCAGTGGAGAGGGTGAGGAGGCCAAGAAATGCATTCAGTTGGGCACCAAATGTCACTTGATGTGCTATTAACTGACTTTTGCAATATTCTGTTCCATTTCCAACCTAGATTTAAAAAAAAAAAAAAACAAAAAAAAAAAAAACAACACAGAATCAACAAAAACCAGATGCAGCAAGCTGAAAAATGCCAGCCAAGAGTCTTAATGCAGAAAAGCAATGCAGGTTCCAGCTAGGCAACTTCAAAGTAAATACAGAAACAAATGAATGGAGAGAGAACATGCATATTAATGAGCTTGAAGCAATATGCCCAAAGCTAGCTTGCCATTATCATGACCTGTTTCAAAAGATAGTGACATTAACAGCTGAGCCCTTACAGGGAGGACAATGGCTCTGGAAGAGAAGAAAATGCCTCTTAGGAATTCAGACTAGAAAGGGAAGAATTATTACAGGTGATTTCCTAATCTTCCGCTCCATTCTGCTCTCAAAAGCCACTGTGTATCTGCCTTGATAGATCTGCTCTTTGTGTATGATCAGTCTTGAGCTACAAAGGAAATGTGTGGGTGGCTTTGTCTCTGTAGATCTGACATGGTTCATGGAGAGCAAGCAGGAGTCTTGTCCCTGGGCAGACCAGGATAATTTGGTACATGGCAATCAGTCACCTCTGTGCAGTGCCTCTGAGGGCAGGGATTAAATGGGGGAGCATTGCAGAGGTGCTGGTCAGCCGGAGGGAGGACACCTGTAGGGGAAGAGGGCTGAAAATAGAGGGATTGGAGAGTACCCCATCCCCTTGCTGAAGTCTGTTGGTCAGATTGGAGCAAGAGGGGTGGAATGGCTGCTGCTCCTTTTCAAACTTAAGCTCTCTTGCCTTGAAAAATGGAGTAGTGAAAGATCCTAAAGACTGCATTTGCAGTAGTTTTTAAGAGATGCTGTTCCACTTACAGTGTTTTAGGGGAGTAAAAAAAGAAAAACAAGTGATTGAGAGACAGATTACTGAAACAAGGCAAAATATTTCCACAATTCGCTTTTTTTCACTTGTCCTGTGGTACAATGCAGTTACTAGCTGAGGAAATGCAGTATTGACTTTGTATGTCTGGGTGCTAATTACAATCATCATAACTAATGTCTTGTGCTACTCTGTGTGACGTTCTAAAAAATGGTTTTGAGTTGATTTTTCAAGTGTGCCTGGTCTTTCTGTTTATTTTAGTACTGTATGAAAACAGTCTGTCTTTTCTACTTAGCTCTCAAAGTGTAAGCTGAAGGGTGGAATTGACATGGGGTGTTCCAGTTAATTTATATAATATATAATTTATAACACATTTAATAGCACATAACATAAGGTTTTGTCAGGAAAATTGTACAAAAGATATACCTCAGTTTATATTCTGATATAACCTTGTAATTTGTGGACTTGGGAGCTGGAGAGCAGCTGTCTTTGTGAAGCTGCAAGTTGATAAGCAGGATTCTTTCTTTTTTACTGATGGCAGGAATGACTCCCACTCCTGTTGGGTTCTTCCAGCACAGCTCAAGCTGCCTTCTGCAAGGGAGCTAGGGGAGGATGTGTATGTACAATTCAATCACCACCAGTCAGTTTGCTCCACTCAGAAAAGAATCAGCACAGTGTCTGTGGTTTGTATGCACTTTATCACCAAATCTTTCCATCCAAGAATTTGACAATTAGGGATTAATTAGTCCCAGCAAGTTTTTTTTCCAAAAATTTCTTGCTGGAAGATGCACTTAAACCTTCAGTTCTGCAGAACTGAAAAAAGATTGGCACCTTTTCATTTTTCTTGACAACGTTTTTCCTGGTATTTTAATAGCATGAGGCTATTGTTTTGTCTGCCTTTATGCAAAAAAAAAGCCACCAACCCCACAATAGTGAATTGAATCATAATCTGACAGAACTGTGAGAAATTGTGTGATGAGGTCTTGAAAATGTGTTTCAGGCTTATTATAAATCTAAATGTTTTATGTTGCCTGGATAATGACTCAGGCCAATTGTATATTTCTACAGATGAATTTCATTTGTCTGTGTATGTATCACATACTAAATATTTTACATACATATACTAGGATTAAAAAAAAATAAATTGCTCAGGACTGCCTATCTGGGAGAAATTGATGGTAATCCGTGTGAACTCATTTGCCTGTTTTCCTCAAAGGTCTATGCTGCCCAGTTCTCTTGTCTTCATTCTAGTTCTTTTCCCATACTGAACGACTGGCATATGATTCAGGACAATTACGCATTGTTTACTGAGGTCATAAACAGAATGGAAGAAACGAGCATTGCAGACAAAGGGTGGGTTGCATGTGGTAACTTTGAGTAGATATCTTGAAGGAGAGGACAAATTGTTGTGATCTCATCTTCAAAACAACAGATAACATTTCCCAAAGGTACTATCACTAGTGCTAGGCCATAAGTACAGCTTGTGAGTTGGGTAACTGTCTTCCTCCATAAGGAAACAAATGGAGCAGAGAAGAAAACTACAGAAGTGCAAGAGATTTTGAACATTCTTAATATACATCTGAAAAATTAAGGTTTCTTGAATATTCCTCATTTATATAGCAAAATGACAGGCAACCATCTACCACTGCTCAAAGTCTGCAGTCAGCTCCCCTGCTGAAGCCATTCTGCCACATAAAAATAATTTTGTACTGGCCACCTAAAACCTACTATCATAGCTGAAGAGCTATGGCATTCACTGAACATTTTGAAGTTCAACGTTCAAACATTTTTCTTTATCCCAAATAGTATGCTGTATTGTGTGACAAATGCCAGGAGTGAGCAGAGCATGTAACCTAAGTCCAGAGGTGACATAATAGAGTTTCTTGTAAAAGAGATGCTTCTGTCTGTGCCTGTTGTTTATTAATAGAAGAGCTGCAGCATGAATTACTGAGAGTGAATATGATGTGAAAACTGCTTGAGTAAATTTTAACAGACTTAAGAGAGTCATGAAATGACTCTTGACTGGGGTGCATGTCACTTAGAGAAGATGAACCTGTTCCCAGTGTAAAAGGTAGGACATAAAGTATATATGAAGGAGCCAGACGTTGTCCTGTCAGACAGCATGAGACTGGAAATACTGATATCCTTATTGTTCATCATTTGGGAAGTAAAAGCATGTGGGTAGGGCTGTGTCTGCTCCTGATTTTCACCAGGCAAAGATTCCTATGTGTGTATGTCAGAAATTGCCTGAAAGCAAAATCTGAAGTGATACAAGAACCAGAGAACAAGGGTGATGGAATGTTGTTGTCTTCTCAGCTGTTGCAAAGTCATACAAATCTGTTTGAATCAGGAGAATTGGATTGCCCTTCTTTGATAGGTGAGGTATTGCCTAGCACACAGACTGCAGCTCTAAAGCATACTCTAATATCTGGTTTTTCTCTGTATAATATTCTGAAGGTATTAATAACAGATAATGGTCCCCAGATTTTAAGGACCTGTTCCAACAATTCTTGATAAAATAATTG